TGTGAAACCAAGTCATTGATAAAACTGTGTGATGATTGTCTTAAGCTCCTAAGCAAAGAAAACGGATTGTGCAAATACTTATTTGCCTTTATATTTCTAAACAGCCTTTCCTGTTATGTTAAAGTTGGTCTCTCTGTAAACTTGGCATGAAAGTTCATCTGTGTTTTAGTTTAGTCTTAATTTCATAAAGTTCACCTGTGTGTGTATGTGTGTGATTATTACCTTCGCCAAGAGAGGTGCCAGTTCAATGGAGGCCGACTCCAAATGTTATTTTCAATCAGAGAAGTCATTAGTGAGTAGGTGGCTACACAAAACGTTCAATCAGATCTCATCCGAAAGGAGGTTGCATTGGCTACATTTTAACCACCCGGCCCATGCACTTCCAACAGTTCTGTAAATATATATTTTTCTGTGATTGTAGATGTTGTCTGTTTTCTTTTTCCTATAATGCTGCATTTGATTTTGAAGCCTAATAAAACAGTTTATATGTGGATAAAAACATAATAAAAGTTTTGAAGTACATGTGTGTAACTTAGACCATGAGCTGTGACATATCAGAGCCTCGGTATAACAAGAAGGAATCTCTTGTACAACTTGTACACTAACGTAAAGCAGCAGGTCTTTAGTAATAGCGTGCGTCGTCCAGTGGTTTGGACCAAGAGGTTGGGAGTTCGAATCCCTGTTGTTGTCACTCATGACCCGACATGCACGCTTCTGGAAAGGGTAGCTAGTAGCCCTTTGATAGGACGGGACATTTAGCTGTGGTCCACTGTTCACGGTGCTTGTCGGAAAGAGCGGTACAATATCAATGCACATGAACATGATGTAAACACTGTACATGTCGTCTGTCTTCTCTGTCACGGCCAGTGGGAGATTAGCTCGTCTGCGAGCTAAAAACTGTACAAGTTAGACGAAGGACCCATATATATGAGAACATTGTGAATATATTGTAACTTTATCCTTGTAGACAGCTTTGTCGACATAATTCATATCCATGTACTGGTCTCTCACAACAGTGTATATTTCGGAAATGAGCCCATGACAGTACATGACACGGGTCCTGGCCGGGCAGCCGAGGTATTTGTGGTTCCATGTGGTTTTTGGCGACGACTGAAAGAGAGAAACTGAACCATGCGTAGAGATGATACAAGAGCATAAGTCCTACAGTGCAGTATGAATCTACACAGGGTACTTATTTCTGCACAGTTTCTGTACGTAGAGGAATGTTCTGCTAAAGCTACGTTGTGAGTTCGGAACTGGTAGATTTTATCATCGCAGACCAGAAACCAGTGTAACTAAGTGTTTTGCATTCCATTTTCACATCTAGTCGCAGGTACATATATGTATATGTCCTTGAAAACTGCAGGTAGCTTACAGTGCAGTATGGATATGCATGAAGCGCACAAAACCAGTTCTGTACTTAGAAACGGAGTGTACGAGTTACGTTGTGAGTTCGAAACCGGTAGGTTTTCTCCATCGCAGAAAAGGGTGTATGAAGCACTGTCTTCCAGAAGTTTGGTGGTGTCTTCAAGGTGTAGAAATCCTCCACTAGGGGTTCCAGAGACCAGGATTTGAGTTCCAGACTGGTTCAGTGATCCGAAAACTAGATCACTACACTTATTAGGTTGAGTCCAGAAACACTGTTTTGCCTCTGGGTTTGGCAGAAGTAGAGTTGAGGTTTTGGTGTCGACACAAGTTGCTATATTCCAGGTGTCCTACAATATTTTGAGGCCTGATAGTCACAGCTCATAGGTATATAACTGTTATAGAATGTTTTGACTTTGCAGACACTTTCTGAACAAAATTCTCAACAGTCATGACACTGCTTTAACTGTCCTCATTAAACTGGCTGCCATTGTCATTCTGTATCATTTTGATACTTTTATACATAAGTCTTGCTACGCACAACCTCTGCTACATAGGTCGAGGCCGTATTAGGTAATACTATATAGAAAAATCCATTACATGTACTTATATTCTGATAAATACATTGTACAACACACACACAAACAAATCACAACAATGATACAACGCAAACAATGACGAAGGTATGAGATCAGTGACCTCTAGTCTGTACCAGCTAAGCTTTTGGTTCAACCTTCTTTTTTGCAAAACAGTCCCTAGTTAGTGTACAAGTCCCGTTGGCCTTTTATCAGACCATCCTCCATAGCAACTAATGTAGGACAGTTATCCGTTTCATGTTAACATATCCTGTTCTCAGGAGAGTAGGCTTGCATGCCACCTAATCGTTCATCTTACACAAAAGTTGTAAGCGTTCAGTTCCACATGTGGGCTTTTATGAGAAATGTTTATTCCTGTTGTTGTTTATGTATTTGTTTTGTAGTTGTTTATGTATTTGTTTTGTCTTTATGCTTAAGAAACAACCATCCTTATGAAATTCAATTCGTTTTTTTACCTAATACAGGCTGGTTATTTTTAGGTTTTAGATATTTAGTCCAAAATGTATTTACTTTGTGAAACCATGTCATTGGTAAAACTGTGTGATAAACTCCAAAGAATTAAAACGTATTGTGTAAATACTTATTTAACCTTTATATTTCTAAACAGCCTTGCCTGTTATGTTAAAGTTGGTCTATTTGTAAACTTGGCATGATTGTGCATCTGTGTTTAAGTTTAGCCATAATTTCATAAAGTTCACCTGTGTTGGAAGAATCCATAATGGAGTCAAAGTTTCAGCACAATAAAATAAAGAACTCACCATGACTTCTTGGTCGAACCTTAGTCAGTGTGTGTGTGTGTGTGTGTGTGTGTGCACCATAACCTGAGGGTGAAGCACACATAAAGATTAGTCTGGACATCGTAATTTTAAGAATGGAGTGATATGAAGCAGTAGTCTTTATCAGGCTTCTTGGGCTGCTAGAAATTGTCCAAATAAAGTAGTCAACCTGCAATGATTAGTCAGTCCAAGTGTTACAAATTTGCTGGCTATATACAATTTTCTCTGTCAGGTTATTCTCCCTAATTGACAAATTTCTATTTTTTCCTCAGTAGCCCAGGGAGTGAAGTAGAGACAGCTAAAACAGGATGATAACGATGTTTGAATATTTTGTCAATATGAGTGAGGCAGCAGCCTCTTGTTTAAAGTGAGTTGTGTTAACATTTTTGCACCGATTTGAATGTTTTAATTTAAAAATTGAAAACATCTTAGTTTGATTGTAATTTACTTCCACTTTTCAATATATCAGTGTAATTATTTCACCTTTCTGAAAGTAATAGATGGCACTGAATTTAAAACAGCCCACACGAGGCGCATTCAAATTTAGTTCGTATTACCACCACAAACTACTAGCCTGGGTACCATCCTATTTGTATGCCGGAAATACTTAGGGGGGAGTATGGGAGCCCCGGCATACAAATAGGATGGTACCCAGGCTAACAAACTACCACAAGATATAAACAAACATGGCTGACATGTGTATCAATCTTTTAGGCACACTCCAAAGGCGTCATATTTTGGCACCTTCAATTCCTGAGTTTGGTAATGAAGTAGTGTTGATTCAATTTATTTTTTGTGAAGGAATGAACAGAAAACTTTTTGCATCGCCCTGATATTTTAGAATGCTGCTTAAAGTGACTTCGATAATTTTTGTTTGCACCATTAGGTCTGTATCATCTTTTAGAGAGACAGTAAAGTGAAGACCGAAGCACATGAATATGATACCTAATCTCTTGGTGTTATTATATTAATACGAGAATCCATCATATAATCCTAGAAGACTGCGTTTTCTGATATCTTCAAAGAATAATATGCATAAGTTGAAAAATAAACATTCCTTTTTTAAAGATTTCTGCCTGTGATTATTACCTTCGCCAAGAAGGTTATGTTTTCAGAGGCGTTCGTGTGTGTCTGTGTGTCTGTCTGTCCGTCTGTAAACACGATAACTTGAGAAGGCTTCACTGGATTGACTTCCACTTCATATTTGGTAGGTGGGTAGGTCTTGATGAGGCCTACAAATGATTAGATTTTGGGCCCCCTAGCAATTTCCTATGGTACTGCAGCTGAACTTCGGGTTTTGATATCTCCTAATCTGGACATGCTAATCTGGTCATGAAATGTGGATGATAGCTAGCTCTTGTGCTGGGGAAGACATGACGTGAGTTTGGGCCCCCTAGCGGCTTGCTGTGAAACTGCAGGGATATCTGTTTTAAAATATTCATAAAAGGATAATTCAAGAACCGGTTGACGGAACGTCGTGATTTTCGGTATGTAGGTAGCTTACGTGATGCTTTATATAGTTATGTGACAATTATGCAAATATGGATGTAATTTGTATAATTTATGGGGAAATTCTATAAATCAACTACATTCCATGATAGGATTATTGAAGCTTGTGGGATTGGTAATTGAGAATGAGAGAAACACAGGCAGATATTGATTATGTCAATGAAGACTTAATTTGCATAATTAATGAGAAAATGTTATAATTCTGTAATGATGGCTGCCTGGAATTTTATACTTGTCGTATTTGAAAGTTTACTGAAGGTGAACATTATTAAACATAATGTATTCAAATCAGAACATCATTTGCATAATTTATGAGGAAATGTTAGAATTGCATCGTTTGTTTGTTAATATAAGACTTTCTTTGGTTGAGAATATGATAAACTGGTACATGAAAATGAGGATCCTATTTGTTAAATCAGGGGGGAAATCTATAATTTGTCAGTCATGAAGATTAGCATCATTTGGTGAAGGTATGAGATCGGGGAACTCTAGTTTGATATAATAAACAGTAAATAGGACATGCAGCTCAGATAGGTTAGGTTGTTTTACTTAGTTATTTCTTTAATTTGACGATGAATCTTCGAGGCTCAGAAAAGGCTCCTTCGAGGCTCCTGTAGAGGCATGGTGAAGATTTGCCTGCCAAGCACAAATGTGTGTCGAAATTGTGCAAAGTCCTTCAGCCTGTTTGAGACACTAGTTTTTTTTCACTCGTGTGAAACTGTTTTTCCTACAAACTGAAATGGTAAAGTAGCGGTTAAGTGAAGTTGGTTCCCTCCCCTGGGATCTCCCATGGCCAGTAGGTGTTAGGTAGTGTGAGGTGAATGGACGAACGCTGTGCTGTGTTTTGGGTTCCCTCCCCTGGGATCTCCCATGGCCAGTAGGTGTTAGGTAGTGTGAGGTGAATGGACGAACGCCGTACTGTGTTTTCGGTTCCCTCCCCTGGGATCTCCCACGGCCAGTAGGTGTTAGGTAGTGTGACTGTGGGAAGAGACACACGTTGTCGTGTGAAATACGTTCCCTCCCCTGGGATCTCCCAGGGCCAGTAGGTGTTAGGTAGTGTGACGGTGGGAAGGGACGCACGCCGTGATGTGTTACGTGTTCCCTCCCCTGGGAGCTCCCATGGCCAGTAGGTGTTAGGTAGTGTGACGGTGGGGAGGGACACACGCCGTGGTGTGATACGGCTTCCCTCCCCTTGGATCTCCCATGGCCAGTAGGTGTTAGGTAGTGTGACGGTGGGAAGAGACACACGTCGTCGTGTGAAATGGGTTCCGTCCTCGGGGAGCTCCCAAGGCCAGTAGGTGTTAGGTAGTGTGACGGTGGGGAGGGGCGCACGCCGTGGTGTAATACGGCTTCCCTCCCCTTGGATCTCCCATGACCCATATGTGTTAGGCTGTGTGAGAAAAGCGATATGAGCTCTTGTGACGTCTTCACCTCTGGACAGGATTGCATCTGTGACGTTGACGTACATGCTCACACCTTGGTCAGCAGGCTGAGATGCCAAAGCTGTCCTCTGCTGTCGCCGGGACCTTATACCTTCGACCTAGGCGGCGTTTCTGTAGAAGGGATTTCGCTGGCCGTTGGTCTGTCCAGTCGACCCATATGTGACCATGGATCGTCCAGACCGTCGGTTCTGTCGCCTGTTTGTGACGACATGAAGCGAGATCTCTCCAGCATCAGCATAGAAAGACATCGGTCCGCTCTCCTTGTCATCTGGGATCTCACTGTAGGTATGATGTAGGGCAGGCAGAGGACGCTGTGTGGCCGTGTGGTGATCTGGGATCTCCCAGGAAGTGTGCGGGA